GGGGTAGAGATGATTTCATCTAAAAAATTAGCTGAAAAACTTGATGCCTATGAAAACGTTTGCGGAAACTTTCAAAAAAAAGCCTGTAGTGGATCGGCAGGCAGAAAGAAAGATACAATGCACTAACTCAAGGTAAATTGAGTTCAGATAATAAAAATAAAACTGAAAAAAAAAAAAATTGTCATCAGGATTTAATTCGCAAAGCTGGTTTCATAGACCTAGAAGTCCACGTCCAGATGATAAATATGAAAAACGAAAAACGCCACAATGCTATCAGTGTGGGTCCTATCAACATTTAAGACCCCAATGTCCAAAACTTAAGAATAGTACTAAATCTCCTGCTAATCTTAACAGAATTAGTGCAAAACCAGAGGATAAATTTCTATTACCTTATACTAGTATGGGTTACGTAAATGGTCATAAAATTCCTATATTAAGGGATTCAGGTGCTAGTATTGATATAGTTTGTCGCAAATACATCACGCCGGAAATGCTGACAGGTGAAAATGTGTGGGTGCAACAGCCATTAGATTTGAATCCAACCTGTTTACCATTGGCTGAGATCGAACTAAATTGCGATCTTGGGCGAGTAATAACTAAGGCTGCCATTATTAGAAATGAACTCGACAAAGGAAGGTATTTATTAGGCAATCGAACTTTTGCACTGTTGAATAAACAAGGAAAGGAACCTGATAGTTGTCCTCACCAGGTTAATGCTGTCTCTACTAGAGCTCAAGAAGAAAAGAGAAATAGCCGAAGAGAAGATCTTGGAACCGATGAAGGAAGAAAATAAAGCATCCAGAGATGTTTTTGAAGAAGAAGATAATTTATAGTTTTTGAAGCTAAATTCGGAAGATGAAACTCTCATGAAACTGGCAAACATTGACTCAGAAGAAATTGCACAACTTCAGCTTGCTGATAAGGAACTGTCTAAAATCATCCAAGAAGTTAAAGAAGGTACATGCAAAAATGAGAACTATAGTCTGACAGGAAAAGAACTTTTAGTTAAAAAAACGACGGATAAAATGGGCTTTGAAAGACAGCTTGTCGTTATACCTGAAAAACTCAAGCCGTGAATTATAAAGATGTGCCACGAAGGAACTTCTGGTCATTTGGGGGTCAAAAAGACCAAAGACAGACTTGCTAGATATTTTTACTGGACGAGGTGTTACAAAGAAACTGAAGATTTTGTAAGAACCTGTGATGCTTGTCAGCGCGCTGGAAAAGGAAATGACAAAAAGAAGGCTCCAATGACATTAGTACCAGTAATTTCCGAAATATTCACTAAAATAAATGTCGATGCCGTTGGTCCGCTACCTATTTCAAAGACTGGAAAAAATATATTATTACAGCTCTGTGTATGTCGTCCAAATATCCAGATGCTGTAGCGGTGACAGACATTTCTTCGCCATCTGTGATTGATGCTTTCTTACAGATTTTCAGTCGTATGGGTTTCCCAAAAGTGATCCAAACAGATCAGGGGACCTCTTTCGTCAGTGCTTTGACAGAGGAATTTTTGGAGCGTTTCGGCATTAAACATGTAAGAAGCTCTGTGTATCATCCGCAGAGTAATCCCGTTGAGCGATTCCATAGAACGCTAAAAAGGGTGTTAAGAGTCGTATGTATAGGAGCGACTTCGGATTGGGAGAATTATCTACCATCAGTTCTTTTTGCTCTCAGAACAGTCACACACGAAAGCACTGGTTTTACACCAGCAGAATTAGTTCATGGCAAAAACCTACGAACGCCAGTCACTTTACTTTATGAGCAGTGGCTAGAACCGATTGAAGAAAGTAATAATGTTGTCAGTTACGTTTTCGAACTTATTAATCGAATGAAGAAATGCCAAGAACTTGCCGTGGAAAACATGAAAGAAGCTCAACAACGGAGGAAAACATGGTACGATCGAAACGCAGTGAAAAGAGAATTTGCTAGAGGAGATTTAGTTCTTGTTTTATCAACGAATCGTCAAAATAAACTAGAAGTACAGTGGAAAGGACCTGGAAAAATAGAAAAATAGAGCAGAAAATTTCAGAAACCAATTATATTGTAAGTTTCGAGGAACAAAATGAGCCAAATCAAGTATATCACATTAACATGCTTAAACCATATTACAAAAGACCAGAAATGATTACTATGATAACTGAAGTGGAAGGAGACTTAGAAATGGACATTCCTCGTTTACCTTCCAATCCAAGTATATTAAATTTCTCGGACATCATAGAGGAGAATGAACTCGAGAAAAGGTTGAAATCCGAGCAAATAGAAGATTTACGAAAGATTTTATGGAAATATTCTGGTTGTTTTTCAAATAATCCTGGACTAACAAACTTAGTTTGTCACGATATTGAGCTATTAAATAACGAACCAATACAAATAAAGCCATACAGACTGTCACCCCGACAGACTGAAATTCTCAAAAAGGAAATACAGAAAATGCTCGATCTTAAAATTATAGAGCCGGGAGAATCGGACTATACATCTCCCATGATTTTGATAGAATCTTCATCAAAGGATCCTCGGCCTTGTATTGATTATCGTAAACTCAATGCTGTTACTAAAACTGAATACTATCCTTTGCCTAATATTGAACTAATATTGAAGAACGTATCGAAACTGTAGCAAAAGCAAAATATATTACCCTATTAGATTTATCTAGAGGCTACTGGCAAATTCCGTTAACAGAAAGAGCCCAAAGATATGCAACATTTGTAACTAGTTTTGGAAGTTTCAGGCCTCTACGTTTACCCTTTGGATTAAAAAATGCCCCATATTTTTTTAGCAAAGTTATGACTAAAGTCCTGGCTGGATGCGAAGGTTTCGCTGTACCATACCTGGATGACATTGCCATTTACTCAGAAAACTGGGAAGAGCACCTTAAAAACTTAACTTCTGTTCTAGAAAGAATACAGAAAGCAAATTTACGACTAAAACCATCAAAATGTAAATTTGCACAAGATCAAGTGAGATACCTAGGCCATGTTGTGGGACAAGGACAACGAACCCCGGATGAAGTAAAGATCCTGGCTGTAAAGGAGTATCCTACACCTAAAACCAAAAACGTGCTTTCTTAGAAGAAGTACGTGCTTTCTTAGGACTGGTAGGGTATTATCGCCAGTACATACCGAGATTTTCAGAAATTGCTTCACCCCTCACGGACGCTTTGAAGGGGGTAACAAAAAAAAGGAAAAAATATACAATGGTCTGAAATATGTGACAAAGCTTTTAAAAATTTAAAAGAGTTGCTATGCAAGAAAAACCAATTCTGTATGCTCCCGATTTTGATAAAAGGTTTATTATACAAACCGATGCCTCAGACAATGGCATGGGTATAGTACTATGCCAATTAGATGATGAACAACGTGAACATCCTATCTTGTATATAAGCAAAAAATTTACTAAGTTTGAAAAGAATTATTGTACTACTGAAAAGGAGTGCGCTGCTATCATCTACGCTATCAAGAAACTGCATTTTTATCTGGATGGTCAGCAAGAATTCTTGATTCAAACTGATCATAATCCTTTGGTCTGGCTACAATCCAACGCCAAATGTAACTCTAGATTGATGCGCTGGGCACTCTCATTACAACCTTATAATTTTAAGGTCATTCATCGCAAAGGATCTTTGCACAAGAACGTAGATGTTCTGAGTAGAATTAAGTAATGTAACTCTTAGTGTATGTAACCACGTTTAGAATTAATTTTATTATTTAATGTATGCTCAACTAATGTATTTGAACGTTCTCCATTTCTTTCTTTTTAAATGTGGTGTAAAAGTATTGTTTAAAACTTAAAATTTTTTGGCCTGAATTTTTAGAAATTTATAAGAGAAATAACCTTTTCTCTTTAAGTAATCGAGCAAGCCGAGCTTATAAACTTTCGAAATTTACAGAAATTTTCCCTTCGGTAAAAGTCTGTCCGTTGGGAAGAGGTTGTAACAGCTTTAAATAATATTAAAATTTTGTAGTTTCAACAATTTAAATAGATGAACATTAAGGTATCTGTGTATGGCAATATTTGAAACCAGACTCGAGTGCCTCGTGCGACACTCGCATGAAGAATGTAATTTATTTTTAAATGTTAGAATATGTTTTCACTTTTTGTTTGTATGTCGCCATTTTTTTTTTTTTTTTTGTGTTAAATAAAAGTTATTGCTGTGTTCCATCATTGGAGTTGCTTCATATCGCCAAAGAAGTATCACAAGATGTTCAAAATTCCTTCCATTAGTCACAGCATACTTCACAACATCCACGCATGGATTTACAGACCCGTTCAAAATGGGCATCTGTGTCACGGACACATGCCGTTGTAGCCACGACTCTGGCGACGAGACTCATGTCCGATATTCCTGTTTGTCTCGTACACCGTGGACTTCATGTATCCCCACAGATAGAAATTCAAGGCAGTCAGGTCAGAGGATCGCAGTGGCCATGCGATTCGTGCTCCTATGCCAATCCAGCGATCAGGATATGTCCTATCGAGGTATTCCCGCACAGTGCTGTTAAATGTGCAGGCGCTCCATCATGCTGAAACCAGATGTTTCGTATGTAGCTGCTGGAACGTCAACCGTCAAATCCAACAATACTCTTTCCACAAAATGTCTATAAAGAACTAAGCTAGAAAATCAATTCACCTTTCTACAGCAGCGTCCTTGCCTGAAATAATCACATTTCCCACTCTCCTATAAGCCTACGAACATTGGTCTCTAGCGGTCGACGTTCGCCTTTTTGACACAAATTCCTATGTTAATTATGTTTGCCATGGTTTAACAAATCAACATGTTAAGTTTGACAACGACCTTTTGAGACACTCTGTATATAGGCTAATAGCATAGTATTTGAAAGAGGCTTTCATGTTTTCCTTCCAGTATTCAATAATATTCATATCATTAAATATTTGTAGTCCGAGTAATTCTAATTACGCATCCCGTTCCTGCGAGATATAGATTAGATATATTTCGTTGTCCTTTTGTAGCTTCATTTACCGAATCTTTTTAACAGGATTTCGAGATAACTCTAGTAAAGGCTGTGAGAAAAGAAGGATACGATGGAAAGGACGAGAGCCCGCTCCAGTGGACTTTCTCAGGGGCTTTACTGTACTCTATTATTGTAATTACGACTATTGGTGAGTGCCTGAATCTTTTTATTTCCTTATTTTTAAATATTTAAAGGTTGTTTTAAAATGATCAATGGTTAACCGTTTCTTTTTGTTATTACTCTCAAATTTTTTCTTTTATTTCAGCTTTTAACATAATTATTACTTATTTACGCTGCTGCATACAGTATTTAAATTATTTTATTATTATAAATTCAAAATATATTGCATATTCGTCTGATTTTTAATATTATTTATACGTATATGCAATACAATTTAGTTTAAAATTACACCTTAATAAAAAAAATCGGGAGTGTATCCGGTGAAGTTCCTATATCCCCCCATTTTATCTCTACAGATCTACTCTAACCCACATACCAACAACAGACGATGCTTTAAAAACATGAAACGAATTAAAGTACTCGTACTTTATGCAACAGTACGGTGCATGGCATTATTGTTCAAGCACAAATTCATGGGTGCTGTGAGCATAAATTAGGCAGGACTGGACTGGTTAATAAGGATGTGTTTGTCTAACATTTCCAACATCACTCCTGTGGTCGTCACATATCCCTGAAATCAGGATGTCGGGTAAATCGATATGAGATTCCACCAACCAGAGCGTTTCAGTACGAAAACCCTTGAATTACCCCTGCTCTGAAATGATGAAAATAATGTTATAAAGGATTTGAAAGCGCATAAACTTTTATGTTCAGCATAAAGCATAAGCTGACGTTTTTTACCATGCTACCGAATTCATTGCATAGTAAGGATTTGTAATTCGGGAGAAAGGGATTTTGACCAGATGTTTGTACATATTGCAAGTTTTGAAAATTGGGCAAGAAAGCAACCTGACGTAGATGTACAATAAAATTGTATGGATTTTGAGGGTTTAAGTTAGTAGTTCTCTCAACTTAGGAAGCAAAAATTGCGTTAAATGAAGCAACACGTTTTCGTTACCGAAAAGAAGAGCTATTAAATAAACATTATTCAAAATATGTGCCAATGTAATCAAATATTTAAGTTTGTTTCAAAATATGCAAGTTTGTTTCTTGTCTAATTTTAAATTTTATATTGACATATTTCTTTTCTAGTTGAATATTTCACGCAAATTAAAAGAACGATTAATTAGTAAAATAAGGCAGACAGTAGTACTGCTATTTACCTCAATTTTGATTTGAAATATATCTGTTAGGTAGAATGGCGACTATTTTCAAAATTGTTCCCAACTTATGAAAAATTTGCACAAATGGAAATTCTAAAATCTGTGGCCTTATTTAGGAAATAGATGCAAGCAAATCATTCAGGAAATGCCTGGTGAAAAATCATGCAGGTTTTTGAAAAATCTCACTGAAGAATCATACTAAATAACCGCTTTTGGAGGAAAGACGAACTAACTTTAGAAGTGATTTTTCAATAGCATATGATTAATATGTTTAACTCAAAAGTTAATCTTTAGAACTTAGGTGACGTAAATAAAGATCTTTTCAAATCTGAGCAGATTCTCTCGAGTACCAGTATCTATGCCAAGGAGCTTATTCATTGTTTTTGCAATGAAATAATCTGTTGCTGCAAAAGGCAATAAAACTAATTTAAAAATGTTCTTTAAGCGTTTAAGTGATAAATATGCACTTGTAGTGTCGGCGGTAAGAATCGCGCCAAGTTGTTCTATCTTCGCACATCCTAAATTCAGCTGCCTCGTGTCGCGGTATTTTTCCAAAAAATTGTCCGCTCCTAAATTTTGTTTCGCATTGTCTTTCCTAAATTGTAAGAATTTGTGCCGTTCCCAAATTTTTCTGCTCCATGCTTCTATAAATTTTAAAATTTGACGCCGGTCTGTGCACTTGTAGTTACTAAATGGGCATCTAACTATTATATATTAGAACTCAATAATAAAGTATATCCTAATTTTTGTTATAAAGGAAATTTTAATGATTATTTAGCTATTTAATTTCTTTCTTTTATAGTTTTGTTATTATCTCACCTTATCAGGTTCTGTGTTCCTCCTTACTTGCTTTGGGAACATTAAATGTCCTGACTCGGAACAGGGAGCTTACTAAAGCTATGTTCAATAAATTGGGGAAGTAGACAGGATACACACAGGAAGGGTATACAAAACCCTTTATTTTTCTCTCTTTACAATGATTTCCGTACTTCGGAATACAGAGACCAACCACTTGTGGTCTGAACGTAAGAATATAAAAATATTAACTAAACTCTAAACTTAACTTTGGAATAATAAACAAGGGCCTACGTGGAAGATTGGCCTTATATTAACAGGAAGCCGTATGTAGTACAGAGAACTGTTAACACTACAATACGTTTAAAATTATCAAGAGGATTAAACCTCTGGCCTGGAAGGCAACCAGCAACCGAGTAAAAACTACTAACTCCTTCCTCTCTCTCGCTTGGCAAAAAGCCACAACTTAAGTACTTGGCGTTCGCCAGACAAATTTGCATAAATAAGTTAAAGCTTTTAATTCTGGCCGGAAGTAGAAAATAAGAAGTGATAGTAAAGATTTAAAATAAAAATAAACGTTAGTAAAACTTAAGATCTTTACATACTTCCCGCCAGAGTTAATTAGTTTGAAACTGAGGTCTAAAACGACCTTGTTGAAAACTTTTAGCTCTAGAATCTAACGCGAGGCCAATCTTTTACAAACATTTCTCACTAGAAACTAGAAAAAAAAAAAAGAAATTTTTTTAAAAAAATTGTTTTTACATTATCAGCTCCATGGACAATACATTTTTCATCTGTACTGCATCTAAACAGGAGCTTTTAGTTCAAATCTGGTTCCTTCCAGAGATCTGGAAGGAAAACTAGTTTAATGAAATGTTACACAATGAAATGGCAAGTAACATGAATATTTATATTTCTCTTAACATTCTTATTTCATTCATGACTTTATTTTAATTATCTCTCCCCGTGCTCTCTGACATGTGTTGTAAAAGAAAACACCAAACACGAATGTGTTTATGTTTTATGTATACGTGTTCAACACTCCGCCTACAATCAAAACACTAACGTGTTAAAATTCAACATAACAAGACCTCGTAACACACCCTATCTTCAACTCTAAACCCTGAGGTACTATTCTGAAAGTGGCTAACTCTGAAGTGTAGCGTCAGAGAGCCTAACTACATTCATTCAACCTTTAACACATATTCACATGATTTTTTTTTTTTTTACAGTCACACGAATAAGTTTAAAAATTTTTGGCATTACTTTCACTTTTACCATATCACAGTATTTCTTAACATTTTAAAATAACAGTTCACATTGTATATAAGAACATATTAACATGCCGTTAATTTTACGCATTTTAAAACATACATTAGTAGTACATTGTTAACTTCTATTCTTTTCCAAGCAAGTGCCAATTCTTCTACATTGAAATACTACATTTCAAAAGTCTTTCAGACTAAAACTTCTTTCTTGCCTTCTTGCCAGAATGTTTTAAATAAAATTTTTATACAATAACTTTTACAATATTCAAGTATTTACACATTCCTATTATACATTTTACATCAACTTTAGTTTTACTCGCGAGTAATTGATTGAAAAACATAATACCAAAATAGGTAACAACTCATTTCTCGCCTTTTTGGCGATAAAGGTAGACCTCATGAGGTAAAACTTCTTGAAATCTGCCACTTGCAGTAAGAATGAAAGATTAACTTAAGTTTGCAAAGTAACATAAAGTTTTACTTATCTTTGTGATATTCGGACATCCTTTTTCTGCCCAGTCCTGGAAGGTAGCGAAGATTACGGTTTGGTTTATCTTCCTTCTTGTGCGGGTTCGCCCTTCAGTTCCTTCCTCTATGAAGCTTTTTTTTTCTTCCAGTTCGGTCACCCTTGAAGACCTTCTTTTTAGCCTCTGCCTGTGGTCTTGGCCGTTTGATGGCAGCTGGTCTTGGCGGAACCGGGGGACAACTCTCTCTCGTTCCTGCTTGGATCTCGTTGCTGGCCTGTTCAAATTTTCCTTGTTTCTTTGCCTCCGCCAGCTGGTGGTTCCTTCCATCAATTCGGTCGACATTTGCTGCGTAGACTCCTGTCCGATGGGTAGATCTTCCGTTTTGGAGCCGGGTTATAGTTGCCGTCATTTCTCCTGGCTCTCTTTGCATTTCGTCGTACTTCTCCCTTCTTCATTCTGGGGGTGGTCGTGCTCTCTCTTTTTCTGGTCGGTGGAACGGCTTCTTTTTTTTCTTGTTACCTTCAATTTTCCAACGGGGGAAACTTTCTTTTCAATTGCTCCTGCCTCCTAATGGCTTGCCCTTGTGATTGTCGTTGTTCCACCTCTGGAGCTTGTGCCTGCAGTGCCTGCCGTGCCGGATCCTGCAAAAGATCTTTAAATATTTGCATTTTATTACGATCATAGTAAAATGGTTTTATCTGGTCAATGTTTGCGGAGCAGGTTTCACCATTCCTGGCTTTTAACACACCACTACAGCCTGAGTTATTTTTTCTATGACATATGGTCCTTCAAATCGTGGAAAAAATTTGGCAGTTTTATCTTCTGGTGCTGAAGAAAGTGAATGCTTAATTTTTAACACTTCATCTCCTACTTTATAAGTTACTCCCCGTCGTTTCATATCATAATAAAGCTTCTGTTTTCTCTGTGCTACTTCAGTGTTCTTTTTTGCTTCTTTAATTAATTTTTCTATATCACCCATTTTAAATTCTGGGGCTCTTTGTTGAACATAAAATAATTTATCTAACGGCGTTATAATCTTTCTGCCTAAAAATAACTCAGCAGGAGTTTTGCCCGTTGTATCATGTTTTGCGGTCCTAAGGGCGAAAGCTAATTCATTGACATAGTTATCCCAGCTTTTATGAAAATTTTTAACATAACTACGGATAATTTTCACTATATTTCTATTGACCCGTTCCGCTATATTTGATTGCGGCCGATACGGGACCATTTTTAAATGACGTATGCCCAGTTTTTGGCACATGTCTTCAAATATATTACTTACAAATTGAGGACCATTATCCGATATAACTTTTAGGGGGCGCCCCGTATTTTAAAATATATTTATTTAAAATAGAATCAGTAACTAATTTCGCGGAGAC